TCAAGCTTGAGTTTAAATTTAAAAAAATATGAATTTAAATGCATTTTTTTGAGAAACTATAATTTTATAGCCTTTAAATTCTTACTGTAATTATTAGCTCTCTCACAAGAAATGTTGACTTCATGCAAATAGTTATGACTAAATGTAAACATTCTAAAGAATTGGTCATCCCTTTCAATGTTTTTAAGAATAAACAAAAACTAAAATTTTATACAGAAATAAGATATGATTTTATTTTTTATTTTTGCTCTAGATAGAATTGGATTTTGTTTATTCACTTTGAGTGGACATGAGGAGGGTCAGAGTAATAATTACGTGATTTGGAATGATATCTCTTCTCAATGAAACCATAATTTATGTTTTCCAAAAGTTCTTAAAATGAGTGCACTGACTAAGAACTTAGGCGATTGGACACTAAGATAGTCCAAAATTAGTCTTAATTATGGTGTTAATGAATGAGGGAGGATTGCTTGTGAGGATGACCCAACAAAAGGGAACAGAAAGATGGGAGTTTGGGATAAAAAGGAGATTGATGGGGAATATAATGTTGTGATGTAAAGGAGGCTAGAGCATGTGATGCAAGCTCCCACACATGGGTTGATAGAATAAGGGGGTAAAAGAAAAGGCATAGTGGTGGTGTGAAAGAATAACTTAAAGAAAGCACCCAAATGGAGCACAACTAGTGCCCTCTATGAAACTTGGATGAGAATAGAATGTAAACTTATTTCTTAAGTTAAAAAAGAAAAATGGGATTTGTTTTCTCCAATCACGTGGGTTGTCCTCGTGGTGTAATGAGAACATTGTGTTGGATTACAGTGAAATAACAAGGTATTAATTGGTCGAAAACTAATTATTTTATGGTGTATTGTGATATAATATTGCATAAAAAAAAAAAAAAAGTTAAAAAAGAAAAGGGGTAATCCAAATTGGGTTGTACTGTCCAAAGATGCCTTGATTAAGTCATGAAGAGGAATTGCTTCTAATTTGCACCATCAAATTAAGACAATATTCAATGGTTGGGAGTAACACGTCATATACAGGCTATACAAATTAAAGTATGGAATAACAATGTTACGTTAAAAGAGTAAGGTGCTTTTTGTAGTTAGAAAGTCTTTATTTATTGCAACAACAAATTAAAGTTAAAAAAAAAAAAAAAAATTAAAGCCTTATCAGATCCAACAAATAAAGTTAATAAGTTCCTTAAAATCCCTTTTGAGATCGGTTAAGATCAGTTTTAGCATAAAAAGACGAAATAACTATCACTAATCAACAAAAGTACATTAGCCACAACAAACTTGATCCTCTAAGCACTTAAAAAAGTGGGGCCTGCCTCTAGTTGCTTGGTCCGCATCCAAGCTAACGGTCGAAATCGAAATGAGAAAAATCCAACGCCAAGGAGGAAGTTAGGTTGGGAAAACAAAACTTGGGGTTAGGTTGGGAAAACAAAACTTGGGATTGCGACAAAATTTTCAGCTTTCTTTCTTTCCTTTCCTTTTGTTTCCTTTCTTCTGAATGAAGGAGCCACACAACTGCTCATGACTTTGGTGTCTGAAGAAACTAGCTTGCTTAACTTGCAGTCTACCATGTCAAGCAAAAATAATAATAAAACTTTTTTTTTTTTGTTTTCCATGTTTTTCTGTCTAGAGCAAAATACTTTTTGGTCTTTCTTTTCCCTGTTCTGCTGTCTGGGACCAAAGTGTTGTGTTACCACAACCAAACCACTGCCAATATCACTTTGGCATCTTAATTTATTCATAGAGAATTCTTGGTAATAAATCAAGGTGTTAGTGAAAACATGTACTGTGCTACAGATGGAATGTGAGAATATTGTAATTTTGATGGGTTATTAACATAATTTCAATTTGTGGCAGTGTTAGTTTTTGTAAGTTTGCCAATGAGTACCTGAAGAAAAAAAAGTTAACCTATGGAGTATAGGAATGTGACATTACATCCCAGCCATGGGCCACTTAAAAAAGTTGGGCAGGCTCCATGATAAGCTGTCATAGATTTGTGACTGGGATAATCTAACAAATTTACCTCTTGTAATAGACCTATATATGCATACATATATATATATATATATATATGGTTCCCGAATAAGGTAACATGTTCATTTACTCTCGTGAGTTGGACCTTCAACATGCACCATCCATTATTCCAACCGATTTTGTATTAGCATACCATGAAAGTGATCAGCCCTTTGTGTGTTTTCTTTTTCCAATGCAAAAATACAAAGTACTTGCTTATAAACGATGATCATAAACATGCAAACTGTTATGTACGTATTGGAGTAATTAAGCTTACTCTTTTAGCATTCAAATAGTGCATTGAGTACAAGAACGCTTAAGTGCTATATGGGGGAGCTATTAAAATATAGTGCAGGCATTCAATTTCATCTTATTCACTAAAGAGACTTGTTAAGAAACTACACCTAGACCTACTTTTTGATGTCATTGATGGCCCTTTCTCATCTACTTGTAACAGTTCTTTGAACCCCCTCTAAGAGATTCAACAATACAACCACCACCACTATTATACCAAAATGATATTATTACTTAAGGTCCGGCTCCTCCCAAGCAACATGCTACTTATGGCAATGCCAGATAAGAGCAATTAATCCAATATATTAGCATAATTAACTAAGATTTGTCTTCAATATTTATGGTTGATAGTAAGAAACTTGGCAATTTAGAATCACCAATTGGATTTTATTTTATATGTTGAGAATTAGATGTTCTAGCTCTCTGTGAGAACAATATAATTGAAGAAGAAAAATAAACAATTATAAAAAAAACACAGAAAATCACACTTAATATGAGAGCTACGTCCACTAATTTTAACAGCTGCAGCGATAAACAATAAGATTACAAGAAAAATTGCATGCCGAGCTCTCAAAGTTAATGTTTTTCTCTAACCCCTTTTAATCTTAAAAAAAGAAAAGAAATCAACTCACGAGCTATTTTTACGTGGAGACAATAATTAGACTCAACAATTTAACAATATGCGTACAGTCAAATAATTAAAACTAGAAAACAAACTTTTAAAAGGTGGGGGAAAGCTTACTAAAGGGGAAAATGGAGGGTATCTAAAAGAATCTATTTTCCTTTTTCTTTTTCTTCCTAGTTCATGTAGCGAATGTAGGGACCAAAACGTAAAAGGTTAGGTGTTGAATAATTGTTACTATTATTATTTTCTTTATATAAACAAGATGAGTTGGTTGTGCAGGGGTTTAAAGAAGTCTTACAAGTCGATTAGAAAAAAAAAAAGAAAAAAAAAAAAAAAAGAAATTCTTACAAGTCACAACGCAGCATCGTCGGACCCTTTTAAAGTTGACGAGTTAGCTAAAAAACTTCGAACTGGGGAAAGACGGGGAATTTATTAACCGCCACAAATTCTGTAAAAGGAGGGACCATGAGGAGGAGGAGGAAGAGGACTTGTTTGACTGAGTGATTGTGGGGTCCACGTGGTTTATAAGACACTAAAAATGCCATGTGAGGGTGGGAGACCACCAGCTGGCTAATGTCTAATTGTGCGTGGGACTCTCTTTCCGTCCTCTCCCTTTACATTACACACTCCCCCCTCTGAATACATGCCTGTCATTTTCCATTTGCTAAGCCTAAAGCCATCCATCTCTTCCTCTTTTCTTTTCTTTTCTTTTCTTTCCTATCCTTCTCTATTTTCCTTCGTCCCAAACAAATCAAGGAAAAACGTAAAGATTACATTACATTAGCGTTAAGGCTCCCTCAAGTAATTTCCAAAAGTAATCACTTGTGTTGGTAGAAACACTATTGTTCTACAACGCTAAATCCGGCATTGGTAAATCCCCGAGTTTAAACAATAAAAATATAAAAATTTGAATCCAAAAATCTTCTCATGCATATATTTATTCTTCACTCCAATCATAAAATGTTCAAGATAGGTTTTTTTTTTTTTTTTTTTTTTTTTTTTTAAGACCCCGTTCATTTCGCTGATTCGAGTTTAGAATTCGAGTTTTACTACAGTAAAAAGTTCTCACAAACAATCACATCTAACTTTTTTGCTACAGTAAAAAACTCTCACATAAAATCACTTCTCAACTCAAATTAAAAACTCGAAACAGCAAACTAAACGGACTCAAATAAAATGTATGGTGATTCAGAACTATTCCATTGACAAAGTCGTTTTTTGTTATTGGACAAATTAATAATTCTCCATAATTCTCCATAATTCTCCGGATATAATATTGATGATAACACACTTTGAGGCCAATTGAAATGTAGTACGAAAAAGAAAAAAAGGAGAAAGAGAAGATGAACGTGTTATGATGGTTTTTTTTTTTAAAAAAAATTTGAAAAATTATGAGTTGCGGTTTGAAGGTGGGTTGGGGTAAAACAGAGAGCGTAGAGCACATGCGTATTAATTTTAAGTTTCATTATGGAAGCTATAGCAAATCCCCACCTAATTAAATCATGAATTAATGTTGCAATATCCACGCTCTCCTTGCCTCGTGCTTAAAATCTTGTTCTCCCTTTCGCGATCACGTGTTGTACTCCCACTAATACAATTAATCCATTACTAACTACTAATTATCATTAGCAAAACTCGGATTAATTGGCGTTTAAAGAAAAATTAGGGAGGAGGGTAAAATGGTAATAAGGAACCTTGACGGTGAAAGACCGTTGTGAAAAAGAAAGGGTAAAATGGGAAAATTGTTATTATTAAGAAGAAAAAAAAAAGAAAAGAAGAAAAAAGTGAGAGGAACGCAACCGTCCCTGAGCTGTTGTGCAGTGAAGCTCAAGGAAAATGATAGTGGTTGTTGTGCTTTGCAGTTTACCCGCTACTTCTTCTATTGCCCCCACACCACTCTCTCTCTCTCTCTTTCTCTTTCTGAACCTTCCCATTTCCCCAACTACCCTTCCGTTTCACTTTCTCTCTCCTTCGATAGCCAACTATTTTTACTTTCTCTCTCTAGCAACATTGTCTGAGAATCCAAAAAAAAAAAAAAAAAAACTCATATACGACTTCTCCTTTATTTTCTATCTTTTGTTGCCTCTCTCCTCTCCCTCTCTCTCCTTTTCTCTCTGTAGTTGCCGTATCACTTTCCCTGTCCGTCTCCAAATTTTTCCCAGACAATGAGAACGGTTTTCTGAGAAAATTGATTGATCATTCATTCATTTTAGTCATTCATACATTCAGAGCAAGTCTTTCACTTTCTCTCTTTCAAATCTGGAACGTCTGTCTTTCTGTCTCTTCGTGTTGTTCTCCTTTCTCTGTTGTGAGTTGCGCTTGCAATGGAAGCTTCTGGGGAGGATTGCTGTGTGAAGGTTGCGGTTCACATCCGACCGCTTATCGGGGACGAGAAGCTTCAGGGATGTAAAGACTGCGTCACTGTCGTCCCTGGGAAGCCTCAGGTCAAAACTCTCCCTCACTCACAAATGTCGTACTTCTATTTGGCTACTTTTTTAGTTCTTTGCTTGTCAACGGGGTAAATTCTTTCAATTCGTGATGATCTCAGGAGATCTGGATCCAAAAATGCTTATTGGTTTCTATTGGAATCAATTTTTTCTTTAATTTTTTTTTTTTGGATGACGGTAAATGGTGCTTCAAAATCCCATTTTCAATGGAATTAGCTTTTTTAGCTTAAATTGGTATAATTGAGCTGATTTTGTTGCATAATTGGGTTGGATTCCTCGTGTGGAGTTTGGTTAGCATTCAGATTGAGTTGGTGATCATGTGACATAGATGGTTTGCTGATAACTACACTTCTTCTCTAGTATGTTTCTAATTTGGGAAAGTCTTTGGAGAATCAAAAAAACAAGTGACGATTTCTTAGGCAGACTTGCTAAAGGCTGCTTTGGATTTTACCTTATTGGGTTTTAACCGCCGCCACAGCTTTTTCTTCTGTACAGCGCCTATGAGTTCATTATCAGCTAGCAGAAAAAAATTCCTCTGTTAATTTTTAGAAAGAGTTGGTATTTACCAATAATCCAGATTCTTATCAAATTAAATAATTCAGTTTTAATTTTTAGAAGCTTATATTGTTCGTAATGCTAATTTTAATTGAAGGGGTGAATTAATGTCGGTATGGGTGCAGTATAACCCCTCAGGTATTTTGGTGCCATCTGGATTTTGACCAAATTGCTATTGTATCTTCGTTGTTCAGTAAGTTCCGTGTATTGCTTTTCAGGAAAAAAAGAAAAAAATTTCCGTGTATTGCACTCTTTCGCCTGAGATTTCCGCCCCGACCAATTTGGTTCTCTTTTTTTTTTTTTTATATTTTATTTATTATTATTATTATTCTTTTTTTTTTTTTTTTGTGGATGTGGGGTTTGGTTCTTAAACTTGAGGCTTAAAATTATGTAATACCATTTTTATTAGAAGGAAATGGGAATATGTTTTTTTAATAGAAACACAAACAATGAATATCCATAGTGACCAAATTGCCAAGAAAAAAAATAAAAAAATAGACTCAATTATGAAAATCTAGTACAATTTCAGTAAAACTATAATTTACTCATTTACTTGCATTTTATTTTTTTATTTATTCCTCTTCATGGAAAGTGGAAACTACTCTAATAACTGTTAACTAGTTGCATAGAACGTACAGCAGAAAATTCCTGTTCTCAACTTCATCATTTATACATTAGACAAAAAGCAAATATCATGGCCACTGTAGGTTTCCATTCTCTTTATCAACACTTGGAAAATTGAGAATTTTCTTCAGAATGCTCAAGTGATATTAGATGTATATGCATACTCCCAACATCCCACTCCTCCTAATACATGTGTGCATAACATGCTGTTTGTGACAAATAATGCAGGTACGAATTGGCACACATTCATTTACTTTTGATCATGTCTATGGGAGTACCGGTACACCTTCATCTGCCATGTTTGAAGAATGTGCTGCTCCACTGGTTGATGGTTTGTTCCAAGGATATAATGCAACAGTCCTTGCTTATGGTCAGGTAAGATGTACATTTCTCTTCAGAAATCGATCATACTGGAGCAAAACGATGCATGCCTTGCAATTTCCTGTTCCTTATGGTTAACAACTTCATGTATTGTAGACGGGTTCCGGTAAAACATACACCATGGGCACTGGCTTCAAAGATGGTTGCCAGACAACTGGAATAATCCCCCTAGTTATGAATGCTCTGTTTAGCAAGATTGAAACAATGAAGCATCAAAGTGAATTCCAATTGCACGTTTCCTTCATTGAGGTTTGTTGGAAACTTTTATTCCTTTTTGTGTTTTAATCTGTTAAATTTAACTGTTTCCGCTCCACGTTGCCCCCATGCCACGCTAACCTATGCCTATTCCTTTTGTTTATAACTGATTGGTAGTGATAATATCTACTTGCAATGCAGCCTCAACATAGTGAACTATATAGAGAATTACTGATATTTCTATACTTGGTTGCAAAAAAATCGTCATCAGCTATGTTTTATTTGTGCAATAAAGTGATTTCATATTAGATTTTAGGCCCTCCAAAATAATACATTTATTTTTCTTTGAGGCCGTTGTTGAACCATCTTTTTTCTTTTTTTTTTTTTTTTGACCAATTGATTAAAAGATTTTAAAAGAAGAAGTACGAGATTTGCTGGATCCAACTTCTGTGAGCAAACAAGAGGCTGCAAATGGGAATGCAGCGAAAGTAACAATTCCTGGGAAACCGCCGATACAGATTCGAGAAACATCAAATGGTGTTATTACATTGGCTGGATCTACAGAAGTTAGTGTCACCACACTAAAAGAAATGGCTGCTTGCTTGGAACAAGGGTCCTTAAGTAGAGCAACAGGGAGCACAAATATGAACAACCAGTCAAGGTAAACTATGCACCATCCTTGATTTAAAATATTTAAGTATTTGTCCTGAATGTCAATTTATTTGTGATCTGATGACGTTTCCTTAGAATCTGGATAGAGCCTATATGGCCATATCCCCTGAACTTTAATATATCAAACTTGGAAATTGAGATCGAAATAACCCATTCGGGGATTCAATTGCAGTAATTTTGTAACCTGTTCGCCTCAATGCTTCCTAGGATAAAGGATTCATGTTCAATATTGGTCATAACAAATCAAAGACAATAAAAAGATGATGAACAACATTGGTCTTATAACTTTTAAAGTCTATGTTAAAGTATTATATTTAGTTATTTCTGACAGAAGTGTCTTCAGTCAATATCCCTGTATCTAATGACATTCATCACTTTCTACGCATGTTTTAGTCGTTCACATGCCATCTTCACCATCACATTAGAGCAGATGCGTAAGCTTAATCCAGCATCTCCTGGCGATAACAGTCCTAATGAAAGTATGAATGATGAATATCTGTGTGCTAAATTGCACTTGGTAGATCTTGCTGGTTCGGAGCGAGCTAAGAGAACAGGTTCTGATGGTCTGCGTTTTAAGGAAGGTAGGTAGCATTATTCATAAGTTGTTTAGAGTATTTGGTTTCTGGTTGTTTGTAAGTCATGTGGACACTCCATTCTTTTAAACAGGTGTTCATATTAATAAAGGCCTTCTCGCACTTGGCAATGTTATTAGCGCACTTGGTGATGAGAAGAAGCGTAGAGAGGGTGTTCACGTTCCTTATCGAGACAGTAAACTCACTCGGCTTTTGCAGGTTTGATTCATTCAGAAATGTTTACTCTTATCTCGTAAGGGCTAAGTTTTTTCTTTTTCAAAGCTAATATTGGCGGCAATTGGCAAAAAGGCATGAAGCTTCCTTCGGCTAGAATTTCGTTGCTGGGATGATTCCCAATACCTATTCCTAGGTCTACTGCCAATTAGCCTTTTATTTTCCTTTATTTTTTTTAACTAACTCTTCAATGTTAAACCGGTTGTGAAGACTGAAATTAGGATGATTCCTGAAGTCGAATCCTCAAAAATCCCAGTGGAGCATAATTCAGTCGTGTGAAATTTGGTGTTGCTAGAGTTTGATTTTATTTTTTATTTTTTATTTTTTATTGATTTCAAATTGTGCATATATGCACTTTTTTGAAATTTATTAGTATTTTAAGACAATGCATTTTCTATCTCTAATTCCGTGCCAAAATTGACTAATTTTGGCAGGACTCGCTTGGCGGTAACAGCCGGACTGTTATGATAGGTAATTTTTCAAGCATCTCTTTTTTCCCAGCTGAAAACGTCCTTTCATATTTCATGTGATGCTTTTCATTCGCGGTATATACTGTTGCTTATGTAATCTTGCTACATTATCGGAATATGATTTTAATATCACCACTGGCATTGTGATTTTCACTTGAATTTGTCATAAAATCCATTATACACTCAAGATGAAGTCTATTTTTGTGTCCTTTGTCATCATATATATTGCCTGCACATTCCCGTCGTAAGAGAACTTTCTCTGCAATAATATTTGCAATTTTATCCTTACGTTTTCGAAATTTAATTCCAAATTCCAGCCTGCATAAGTCCTGCTGATATCAATGCTGAGGAGACTCTCAACACTTTGAAGTATGCGAATCGCGCCCGCAATATTCAAAATAAACCTATTGTAAGATGTTAATGGTGTCTTGGTCTTTCGATACCCTCCCTCCTTTTTGGATGTAAAATCTAGACAAAGTTTGTCTGCCTTTATGAAGTTCTCATGTGTGTATATCTGTTTCTTCCTTCTGAAATTGTAACAGGTCAATAGAGATCCCATGTCCAATGAAATGCTGAAGATGCGCCAACAACTAGAGTATCTGCAGGCTGAACTCTGTGCCCGGGGAGGAGGATCTGCTGATGAAATACAGGTAGTCAGCTTCTAAGAATGGCAATGTGAACTGATTTTAATTAAAGAGGGGTTGTCTAGATTTTAATCAGAGGCCTGGAGCTGTGGGAGGGTAAACCTGACTTGATGGCTGCTATTGTTTTTTCATTGAAAAGGGTTATGTTGAATCGTATAAATTTAATTTTGCATATGTTATTTTCTTTAAATTTATTTTGGATATTTATGCAACTGGTGTAAGAGATTTGCAGGTTCTCAAGGAAAGAATTGCTTGGCTTGAAGCTGCTAATGAGGATCTTTGCCGCGAGCTTCATGAATATAGAAGTAAATGTCCTGCTGTCGAGCAGCGTGAAAGAGATGCTCAAGTATGTGCTACACTCTTTTTGAGATTTATCTTGTACTTTTATGTCGCTACTTTTTATTTGACCATAGGTATAAATTTGAAATTCACTTGTTTGATTACTTATTCCTGGGGTAGAACTTGTCATTTATTTTCAGCCGGATGGCATAATCTGTGTTTAAAATGTCATCTTTCAGGATGGAACTCCGTGCTCAGTGAGAAGTGAGGGCCTTAAGAGGGGCTTGCAAAGTATAGACTCAGCTGACTATCAAATGGCTGAAACAATATCAAGTATGACTCCTCTCTCTTTTGTGAACTACATTGGTGTCAATTGGCTATTATTTCAAAGTATCACTAAATGGTACAGCTAGTATGCTGAAACAAAGTGCATCAGCAGTCTTAGGATAGTTCATATAAATTCAAGCTTCCGATACTTTAGATCATTTCGTTTAAGTTAGGATTTCCAATTTTAACAGACGATGCCAGGGAAATTGATGAAGAAGTGGCAAAAGAATGGGAGCATACACTTCTGCAGGATTCTATGGACAAGGAGTTGCATGAACTCAATAAGCGTCTAGAAGAGAAAGAGGTATTAATTCATATATTGGGTTTTTGGTTAACATGGAAAATTATTGGTGCCATCTTGTATAATATTCGTTTTTGCTTTTGATGTTTGTGATGCCTTCCCCTTCTTGCATCATATGCATCTTCGCTTTTGATGCTTGTGCAGTCTGAGATGAAACTTTTTGGGATTCCCGACACTATGGCGCTTAAGCAGCATTTCGGAAAGAAAATCATGGAATTAGAAGACGAGAAAAGAGCTGTCCAGGTTAATTGAAAGCTAAATCTTTTGATTTTAATTACTTTATTCCTTGAGAACAATGATATTCACGTGTTTTAATTTATGCAGCTAGAAAGAGACCGCTTGCTAGCTGAAGTTGAAAACCTTGCCGCTAATTCTGATGGACAAACACAGAAGTTGCATGATATCCATGCCCAGAAGTTAAAAACACTTGAAGCACAGGTGACTATTATTCTTCCAACAGAAAGTTGTTTGCTCTTGTAAAAACTTAAGAAAACATCCTTACAGCAATCCAAGTTGTAAAATCATTTACAATTTATTCACCCAGATTCTGGATCTTAAGAAGAAACAAGAGAACCAGGTCCAGCTTTTAAAGCAAAAACAGAAAAGTGATGAAGCAGCGAAGCGACTACAAGATGAAATTCAGTCTATCAAGGCACAGAAGGTTGAATGTCTAATTTAAAATTTTTAAATGTCTAGACAAGTTATATTTTACCCCTCTAGTAATACAATCTCTCCACTCTTATCTGCTTTCATTTATCATTTACAGGTTCAGTTGCAACATAGAATAAAGCAAGAAGCAGAGCAATTTCGACAATGGAAAGCCTCTCGAGAGAAGGAATTGCTGCAGGTATTTCACTTTATATGTTGTTTTACATTTGAAAGTATTTGCCAATTCACAAACTCCGATAATACGACTTCAGCTAAATTCGTTTTTCTGTTTCCAAATCCTTTGAACTACTGTTTTTTGGCAGATATGGTATATTTCAGTTTCACTTGTGCCACTTTGGGCTTCTATAAATCTTTTTTTAGCTAATGAATTGAAAGTTAGTAATTACCCCCATAATGACCTCACTTATCATGGGTGGTAGCTGATGTTCAGTTGAGTACTTTATCAGATGCCTTTTTAATCTTATGGTTCCATTCTCTCATCTACAAGTTTTCACGCATGATAGCTCTCTCCTGTATCATAGTTCTTGCGATATTATTGTCTAATACTTCAATTTTTTGGTATTGATTTGTTAATAGCTACGGAAGGAGGGCAGGAGAAATGAATATGAAAGGCATAAGCTGCAAGCGCTAAACCAGCGTCAGAAATTGGTGAGTAAATTAGCTGTTGCTTGCTTAGTTGCTTGTTTAATCTGTACACTTAAGGCCTTGACTTTGAAAAAAATTGTGCTCTTAGTGAGTCAATGTTAACTTTTATGGTTGCCGTAATATTGAAGAGAGAATGAGATTTGAAAGGCAAGCATTCTTGAGGGTTAAGCTATCGGACTTTATATGCAATGACAGTAGTTGCATTCTAGCATTAAAAGAAAAGAAAAAAAGAAAAAAGAAAAAGGAATCAAAGTTGACAGTTAATTCAATTTTTTCTTGCAGGTTCTTCAAAGAAAGACTGAGGAGGCTGCAATGGCTACTAAAAGGCTAAAGGAATTACTAGAAGCTCGCAAATCCTCTGCCCGTGACAGTTCAGGTATGAGGAATCCCAAATCCTATTCAGAGAATTCGTGGTCTGATTTTTGCAAAATATCTTAAACACTGACTATTGTCTCATTAAAACATATAGCTAGTCATACCTTAGGCCTTTTTTACACTGATTTTCTAATTGCATGTCATTTACCAGTTGTTGTCAATGGGAATGGAACAAATGGACAGGTAACGATCTTTGCTTCAATTTTTGGTATATATTTTGTTAGCTATTCCTTGGGTTTTATGTCTATTTTAACTTGAGTTGCATCACTAGAGCAATGAGAAATCTTTACAACGTTGGCTTGATCATGAGCTAGAAGTGATGGTCAATGTGCACGAAGTTCGTTACGAGTATGATAAGCAGAGTCAAGTGTATGTATCTAATTTCTCTCTATTTACGCTTTAGTTTCTAAATAAACCACTGTTCCCCATTCTCTTAATTATGCTGTAATCTTCAGGCGAGCTGCACTGGCTGAAGAGTTAGCCATGCTGAAGCAAGTGGGTGAATTTGCTTCAAAAGGCCTTAGTCCTCCAAGGGGAAAGAACGGTTTTGCAAGGTACATCTCTGTTTTTGGGGGAAAAACAAAAAAGAAGAAAACAAGAATTTGCCCATAAAAAGTCTTCCACCACCACCACTCTTGTCCCCCTTTCCATTTTCTCTAGTCTGGTTGCTTTACTGCTTCAATTTTGTCCTGCAGAGTGTGCTCTATGTCACCAAATGCAAGAATGGCAAGGATGTCTTCACTTGAAAACATGCTGAGCATATCATCCAACTCACTTGTAGCAATGGCATCACAACTTTCAGAAGCAGAAGAACGGGAGCGTGCATTCACTAACCGTGGACGTTGGAACCAGTTACGATCAATGGGAGATGCAAAGAATTTGCTTCAATACATGTTTAATTCTGTTGCAGATGCAAGGTGCATTTTTTATGTCTGTTTTCTTTTATTATGGAATCTCATCCAGTTGTATTAGCTACTCTCATAAGTACCAACTTTGTTTTCTGGCTTGAGTTTAGAAACCAAAACGTGACATTTATATGTTAGTCTGATTTTGACTAACAATTTAATTGGTCACAGTTGGTGGATTTCGATTTTTGCACGATGATTTTAAGTATCAATTAATGTATTCTTGATTCTTCATTCTTGACAGGTGCCAATTATGGGATAAGGAACTTGAAATTAAGGAAATGCAAGAGCAACTTAAAGAATTGGTGGGTCTCTTGCGGCAGAGTGAGGTACGAAGAAAGGAAGTTGAAAAGGAACTAAAATTGAGAGAGCAAGCTGTTGCAATTGCATTGGCCACATCAGCTTCAGTAAGACTATCTTTGCCTTCGAACTTCAAATAATTTTTAAACACGTGAAACTATGTATTAATTATTCGAAAATTCTCTCTTATTCTGCAACATTCAATCAAACTTGATTAATAAACCAAGAGCTAAAAAAGACTCTCACAAGTACCTTGGAAATCCTCCCATTGTTGTTATCCATTTTAAGTCTTCTCTCCGGCCTTCAGCAGGGCAATTCACCCAATTCATTAGAACAATTCAATGATGAAATGAGCGCTCCCTTATCTCCAATTCCTGCGCCAGCACATAAGCAGATAAAGTATACAGCAGGCATTGCTAATGGCTCAATCAAGGAATCAGCATCATTCGTAGATAGACGAAAGGTTAATATCCTAACTTCCCGCTCCTTGGATCTTAGAAATTTTACATGTCTTCCTTCTCATCTAATAGTGGGAATTTTTTTTTTTTTTTTTTTTTTTATATTGTAGATGGTGCCCATTGGGCAGTTGTCAATGAAAAAGTTAGCTGTTCTAGGACAGTCTGGAAAGCTATGGAGGTGGAAGAGGAGCCATCATCAGTGGCTGTTACAATTCAAGTGGAAATGGCAGAAGCCATGGAGACTCTCAGAATGGATTAGGCACAGTGATGAGACACTCATAAGGTCCAGGCCTCGGCTACAAGCTGTTAGAAGTAGCAATGGGATGTGATTATAATATTCGTGGTTCACCTGCTTTTTGTTGCCCACATTTCTTCCTTGGCCTACAAGCATCGATCCCTAACCCCAAACACGTGGCATGGAGAAATATTGTAATAAGTGCAGGTACTAGATACTCTCCAAAATTTTCGCAACTCACATTTTCTTATTTATCTTCAGTTAGTTCAGAAAAACAAAGAAAGAACCTTACAATTGTGTTCATAAAATAACTGATACAGCGTGGTGTAAGTAGCTGTTGAGGATCGCTGCTTATGTCAAGGACGTGTACCTGATTGAAAAGATTAGGTTTTGTAATCTTGAAATTTTTGTCACGGTTACGACACTTGGTGCATCTTGTAAAGCTGTGTTGATGCTACTGAGGCTACCCACATAGTTAGAAAGAAGACACCAAAGGTGTGACTTGTGAGTGACAGTGAAAGTCATGACCTTTTGGTGAGACTAAATCTCACGCAAGGAGGTGCTTATAACGTTTGAATATGATTTCTCTCAACAACAGAATTCAAGAGAAGAAGTTATTCTATAGTCGTATAGATGTGTATGAAAGGTTCTTTTTTTTTTCCCCTTTAATTTTTTTTTTTTTATTCTTGTGTCTAAAGTTGTGATAGTGTAATAGTGTGTAAACACAATGTAAACACCCTGTAGAAATTTTTTGTGCGTCGTATATTCACAGCAGAAAGGAAATTCTTTTGAAGAAATTTTCTTTTTCTATTGTTTGTTGTGTGTAAGAATTATAGTTGTTGCATTGGAAGCGACTGGATATTGTATACAGTTTTTCTTATATTATTTAAAATCAGAATGAAAGTCTTCAAACGGGGTTTAGTTTTGTGTTTATTTATTATCTCTTTGATTTGGGAAAAGTGGCACTTCCTTTTTAGGTATCCAATCAAAGCTACCAAAGAACGAGTTGACTATTGTTCCCCATATATCAATTTGTCAATCCTTTATATCGTATTTCGCTTGAAATTAGTATGGGTTAACAATCTAATATTTGTAGTGTTTTATGATACTCAACAATGTAACGTTAACAATGGAGGATTAAATATCATATTTCACTTGACATTATAGAAGGTTTTTTTGTTTTTTTGTTTTTAACTTATCAGATCATTCAGCAGGTGAATGATCAGATCTGATCAGTTTTTTTAACTTTATTCACGCTTTAAAAAAAAAAAAAAAAAAAAAATCTCTAGCAGGACCTCCCTATGTAAGACCTGTTTTCTGATTATACAGTACAGACAATTCTCATACGGAGAAATGGAAAGGAAAGTTGCATGATTCAACCTCTGAATGGAAAGAAGATCACACGAGTCGAACAAAAATCCAATACAAATCATGATATATGAGGAACAAGCACATTAGTTTCTATTCACCATCTGATTAACTTATTATTTATAAATTTTCAACAGCGATCAATTTTTTAAGGTTACAAGATCCCATATTTAACAGTAAAAGGTAATGAACTTAGCACTCTACACTCTCAAACCAACCTATATGCCCTCATCCTCAATCGATCATTCCATATTTTTCCTCTGCAAAATAGGAATACAGCTACAACTCACTCAGGTCTCAGGTACAAAAAAAAATAGAAAAAAAAAATAGGAAAATGGCATGTGGTGATGGAGCATAAAGCACAAGTGAGTACAAATAATCCACTTCTTGCTACAAGCCCATCAAATTTGGCAACACCAGTACGCGTCGTGCTCATCTTTGCGGTGGTTGCTAACAAGACCCCCGCATTTTAAACATATGAAGCTGCTTCCGTCCGAGAATGCATCCAACACAACCTGCATCCTACCAGTTTCAGCCAGTATAGAGGTTCCATGAGCATCCGGCACTTCCCATTGATTGCCTGCATCATCCAGTGGTTGTCCACTTTCTAAAGGCCCAGCTTCGGCAATGGCACATTCAGCAAACAAGGATGCTAGCTGATCGACCGCTGCATTTTCTTGCAATCTACTTTTGTATAATTCTCGGGCACGATGCAAGGCGTGAAACACAGCCTCATCACCACCTCTGGTTCTCATTGCCATCACCACCTGCTCCAAAAGACGTATTAGCACAAAGTTAGATATTCAATCTCTATGTAGCAACTGGATGCAGTGCATTTTAATCCTTTTGTTCATATTTTCACACGTAAAGGCAACAAAAGTAAAGGAGATTTGTGTACTTCAAAAACGTAATGAAAGTGAGATCATACACCTATAACTCTACAGCAACAATAGTGACGTTTCGAAGAATCTTTAACACAATACTCTTACTCTATGCAGTGAGCACAACCACACAAACACAACAAAGCAGTTAGTTGGGAAGATAAAAGCTTACAACTCCTCAGCCTGATTTTCATTTCTCCTCGTTTTTCTATTTTTTTTTTTTTAATGGAAAATAACACGTATGAATGCCAACCCTCTTCATGGAATTTTCGATATCAACCAAGAGAAGCTCCTTTCGAGAAGTCTCACTGCCACTAAGTTCGGTTTAAGCTTTCCCCAAACTACGTATTAGAACCGTGTCACGGTCCAAGATTATCACTTTACCAATAGTTGACAACACTAAACAAGATCATCTCTCCATCAAAGGATCGCAGTGAGCATCCGAAGGGAAGATAAAGCTTTTCAAGAATGTCCTTCGGCAACGCGTATCATCACGAAAGTTAAAATTCAATTAAAGCTAAAACCGTTTCTAAGGACATTTTACCAAACACCGTATACTATGACACAAACCCAATACTTGAAAAATTAAACTAGAAAGAGTAAACTTTTCCAATTCAAGTAGCCTAATTAATTGGCATTAGAAAAGCTAGGCCAACTCTGGAAATGAAAGAACAAGAGAGTGCAAAATCAAACTAAAACCTAGCAAGCGACAAATTAGAGAGGGCTTAGTCAAACTCAGGTGATTCTTCACATACCATGTTAGTTTCCCAATAAAACTAGCAAACCTAGTAGAAACCCTAACAAGCTTAACCGCGCACCAAAAACACAAAATTTAATTGAGGACCGCTAAATACGACAACTTTCTGTTCTTTTCTATACATCAGAGAGAGAAAAGAAACGATCTTGCAATGACTGGGACATCCAAATTTTAAACCCAAAAATTATACAAGAAAACATAGCTCGAAAGAAGCAAATCAAGAGAGAGCGAGAAAAAAAGAGAGAGAGTTGAAGGTTGAGAAATTTACCGCTTGGAGGGCCTGGGAAGGCTTGCCTTGGTTAATAAGCTGGCGAGCCAATGTGAGCAAGTCCCAAACGGCGTTACCCTGGCTGCCGTTAGCATTGGCCGCCATATCCTGCTGCTGATTCGACGTCGCAGTCGCCGTTTCCATCTCCGTCATCTCATCGTCGCTACGCTGCTCCATCGCAACATCAGAGCCTTTCTCGCTTTACGGTTCTTATTATATTTGGATTTATATATGTATATATATTTAAGTTTGTTAAATATTCTAATTCGCTGGTAAAAATCTTCAGATGAATCGGGACAGCAGATTTGGGGTTTTCTTTTTTCTTTTTTTTTTTTCTATATGAAAGTTCAACAAGAAGACAAGAGATGCTGGATGATTCTAGCAAATTCTGCAGATGTCCCTCTCTCTGTGTCTGCTTTCGTTTTTCTTTTCCTCTCCTTTATTTTCCCCAATCTCTCTTAACTCGAGTAATAATTGTAACCGTGCTTGGAAGGCCTTTCAAAGTTCGGTCCATGTTTATATAGATAAGGAGACATTTAGTTTATAAATTAGAATAATGTGATTAGAATTATTTTTTATTTACGTATATTTTTTATGAGAAAAAATACTGTAATGAATTATAAACCATAATTTAAACTATAGTTTAAATTCTCTAATCAAATATCTCCTAAATTTGAAAGTGCTTTAAATTTTAAAAAAATTATTTTTAGTTGGACTGAAAGAATAAATAACATAAAATTATTATTACAATATACTATAAATAACACTATAATATTTATTATTATATTTAATATACTACAATAAAATTATTATTAAATAACATATTATATAATTATGATATTGTTAACATTTATGTCTTTAGGAATAAATGTAACAATATTTTTTGAAACATTTTGACTATTAATAAAGATTTATTTATTTCACATATCCATGTATAGTCTTATTTATGTTCATATTAGATGAATGTATGATAAGTAAACTGAAAGTCTGAGACTGTAATTCTAAATCTTTAAGTCATGCATGTGATGAGAAGAACATGTGGAAGACAGGAATCTAAAGATGATAGTCTAAATCATATGATCCACAATCGAGGGAATAAAGTTGGGCACTTTATTCATATTAAGATTGTTATGTTGTCTACTTACTGACGGAGACGGCTTGTCTTAATCGTTGGAGGTAGGACTCCATGAGTAGAGACATTGATATAGTTTCTAGTGGTGAAATCTATATTGGGTTGGATCAAAATTGAATTGTTTTAATTAATAATTCTGTTTGTATAAGACAATTCACTTTTGATGAATTATACGTGGTCATCTTAATCCTGAGATGGATAATGAACTCGTATGCTTGACTTGTATCCTTTGATGTACCAAAGGGAAACATCCTGACATTATGTAAATGTACGCTTACCGGTACATTAGGGGTATGACTTGTGTATACGTAGATTAGTTATTTATAGATAGTGGAATCCGTAGCTTCTATAAAGAGTCAATGATATCCTCTTATTCATTATCTGTGGATTGAAAAATACGAGCCCTCGGCCATTAGACTACTCTGTGTTATCTAATGGTTTACTATTTGTAATGGTACGAATAATGGTTTTCTAATGAAGTGATAATGGAACATAAGATAAATGTGATCGGGAAGGTAATACGAAACATGACTTTAAGTCGATTATGGATATCCTATGGGGATGATACACTAATATATTGAGTCACGGGCGAGAGATATTCAGAGCTTTATAAATGTGCTATATAAATTGAGAGTGCAACTCTAGGCTTTTAGTGGAGTAGCGCTAGAGTTTTATAATTATGAGACATACTTGTTGGTTTTCAAATAGCGTTATGATTATAGAAGCTTAATTTATATATGTCCACCGGGTCCCTTTGCTAGCTCACACAATTTTCTGTAACGATACGGCATATTTACTACATATTGATAACTTGTGTTATTTCTGTAAAAGAGGTTCAAAGTTAATATGAGATTGATTAATTAATTCATGAGTAATTTATCGGGTGAATTAATTGATGAATTAATTCTAGATAAATTGGTTGAATTAATGTTTTGGGTTGTTTAATTCATGCGAAATTTATCGGGAGGATTAATTGTTAAATTAATTCTAGATAAATTTTGAATTATTATTTTGAGAGTTATTTAATGTGGGAAGACTATTATATCACTGTTTTGATCAAGTAACTTACCTATTGTGTTTCTTGAATCAAAACTGAGGATTTGTGCAAGTTTCCCGTGTTGAAAAACTAAGAAAACAAGTTTCCCTAGTTCAGATAGGTCGACCGGTTCATGAATGACAGGTCGACCGGTGAGTTATAACTTCTCTGTCACCGATCGACCGATTGTAACGCGTAGCGCATTCTGATGTGGCGAAACTAACTCTGTAAGCGAGATAAACTTTAAAAAACCTAATTGTTATGGATATATGACTTCCTAAACACTATAAATAGGCCAGTAAATCACGTTATTCATTAGATCACTTGAGAGACTTTTAGGGGGCTATTGGCAAAAAATTTATGAGAGGAAAAATCAAGAACGATTTTTCTTTTAGCTCTCTTGTGGTTAGAAGGAGTTCAAGAATACCAAGAGGAGATTGAACGACGTGTGCTCACCCGCACTTCGATTGTGGAAACAAGAATAACAAAGAATACCAGTTGGTTGAGGCTCTTCTAGTTGCTGTTTGGTACGCTTTGATCTGTCAGATGTGATGTTTTCTAAATCTCTAAAGATATGATTTAGATCTTTAGTATTTATATTATATAGCATCATGAATATATTCTTGGTTGGCTTTGGCATTGATTTAAATTTTTTAAAATTTCGCTACGCACTCGATGCCATATTTTCCAATAGATATAGAATATAATAATATTATTAAAATGGTTAATATAATTACAATATTATAAAATTACATAAGAAAGAAAAATATTTCAGTTATAATATAATTAAAAATTACAACTATATTATATTATATTATATCATCATTATCATATTATATTAAACAAATATATTATAATTAATATATTATATAATTATAACTTGTGCAATACAATATAATAGATAATAATATTAAAATTATGAGGTTATATTAATATTTAATTATATTGATTATTATATTATTAATTATAATAATTATAATATTATTATAATATCATATTATATGATAAAATAATAATATTAGAGTTATTAATATAATTATGATCTTATTTATTATAATATAACTATTATATTATATTATATTACGAGTCTGAATTTTAGATTATGAAGATTGTAAATTTTAAATTTCATTAGGGGTATTATAGGTATTATGAAAGTTTTATTAATTGTATTATGCTGATTCTCGCACAATCTAAAAGCTAAAGTTGCCTGCGGGCTGTTTTTGATGTTGACTGTAGATTCTTCAAAAAATACTTTTGAGGAGATTTACCAAACACTAAAATCAACTTTTGCTATAAGCAAAAGTTAATTTTGAGAGCGAAAATTAATACCAAACTAAGCCATAGTCCCATACTGTTCAGGATTAGATTCTAGTTGTTGCAGGATTTGACTTCCAACTCCTAGCCCATTTTTCAGGTACATATTAAAAAAAATAATCTTAACAAATATCTTTTAAAAATACATGAATTAGATACTCTTAATTTATAATCTTTTTAATCAAATAATTATACTAATAAAAAGATATTTATTAAGAGTAAATGGTAAAAATTTAGATTTATGCACTTTTAAAAGTAAATTCTTTATTTTTTTTAAAGAAAAGAAAGAAAAATTAGAAAAATAAAAAAAACTAGAAATACTTTTGATAAAATAATACTCATGGATAATTTGAGTAATTATTAAAATCACGCACAGATATATATATATATATATATATATATATATTAGACAAAAAAAATAAAGTAGTGAATATTAAGTAAAGCTCTATTAATAAATCTGTTGCCAGTTCAAGACAGTACTACTTACCATAAAATTCTCATATTTATACTTATTAAAAAAAAAAGAGCATATCTACAACAGTGGGGGAAAGCGTCAAACTATGTTCCGCAGAAGCAAAAGACTTGCGCTTTGGAGATTTCACCGGAGTTCACAGAAAGACTCATAGCTCATGCCTATGGTAATCCGTAAATATAATCAGTAATTGATCAGTATATCAAGTTCCCTCGTGAAAGCCGAAACGGACCCGCTAATTAACAAAAAGATGCGACAAAAACGTGGAGCCATACCTTTTTCATGCGTCTTTAGTGTCCTTTTCTTTTTCATGTGATTTATGAACAGCACATTACTTTCTTGAATTGCAAGTTTACAACTTCGAGGCATACCTATATCAACATAATACATCAACTGATGAAGTATAAATCTTGGGGCCGCAGTTGTTAAGTAATTCTAATTACCGAGAGCAACAAAAAAACGTAATAAAAGAAATCAAATAAAATTCACGCACAAAATTTATCATCGAGATTCGTCTCAACTGAGACTACATTCTTTTTCTGCCATTGCATTTTTTTTCATTATGATAAGGAATTACAAGAGAAAAATCGCACACTTGACAACACTGTGTTTTTCCTCTATCTCCGTGTTTTTTCTCTATGTCTCTAATAATCCTCCAAAAAAAAACGACAACCCCTTTCTAGTTTTTATAATCAAAACTAGGGCAACCGCGTAACAGTGACCAAGCTAAATTTAAAGGAAAAAAAAATATGTGCATCTAGGATGATAGATCTTTTCTTTCATATATAAAATCAAGAAAAAGGAAAAAAGGCGGAAAAAAAAGGTTAAACGCTGGCATTTGTTTTCATCTATTTCTTTCTATCTATTATCAATAACAACTCATGGAATGGTACAACAATTGGGTCAATGACTAGGACATCCCAGTGGGCGGGTCCGATTCACTGTCTTCCATTAATACAGTATCTTTAATCTCTTGTAACATCTTCATCACTTGCCACATTGTGGGCCTTTGCTCTGGCGACGTTAAGCTACAAGCAATAGCCACCTCAAGAAGCATTTCCATCTTGTTGTTTTCCCCGCCATCATCAACATTACCGTCTCTCGTCGATCTCACCCACTCCATCATCTCATTCGGCGCCAAGGACGGCAAATGTGATGGAGCCTTTCCGGTGATAAGCTCCAGCAGCAAGATCCCGAATGCATAAACGTCCGACTTGGACGTTGCTTCGTGGTGTGAATTGCGTGTTTCGGGGGCTCTGTATGCGGTGGAATTGGGGTCATCGTCCGCATTGTTGTTGTTGTCGCCATGGGGAGAATTGACAAGGACCGAGAGGCAGTAGTCGGCGAGGCAGGCCTCAAAGTCGGGTCCAAGGAGGACGTTGTTGGACTTGAGATTGCCGTGGATGAGCCGCCACGCTTGGTGGATGTAGGAGAGGCCTTGGGCCACGTCCTCCGCTATTTTCAAGCATGATGTCCAGTGGAGCGGCTTTGCCCTTGTGGATTTTGAGCCTTGAACATGCAAAATTTGTTGAGTATCTAAAAGAAGCATTGTTTTGTAAATGGCATACAACAAGTAAACTTTACAAAAGAGGTGATGAATTATCAATAAATGGTGGGGCAATCAGGTGGCAACATGGCCCGCAATTCACCAATTATGCACGCTACACCAAAATCGAAACTTTTTATATATTCGCTAAAGCCAGATTCATAGGTTACAACAGTTTCTTGTCTAATGTTGAGTTTGACATGACATGAACATTTTGCATGTTGTGGGGCCGTAGGGCCTCACATTGTTGAGTTGTGATGGCCTGGTGGGGTTATTAGTACACTCTTGCTTTTTATGCCCCGATGGCCCCTCTTCTTTCCTCATGGCACGCAACCCAACACATGGTCAATTTTTTAATCGGGTTTACCGGATCAATAATTTATCATCACTTCACATTCCCAACGTAGTACCGTTTATTTCATTAATTTAAATTTTAAATTTAAATTTTATTATAATAAAAAATTTTAAAAAATTATTATATATTTAATTTTTTTATTATAATAAAAAATTTTCACATAAAATTATATCTCAACACAAATTAAAAATTAAACTCCAATTAAAAACTAAAATCAACATCAACGCTTAAAAAGCAAGATTCTCGGTGACATACCAAAATCATGACTAGTGTAATCATCGTTTCCGAAATCCTATACACCCCATAATTGCAAAAATAATTAAAAATTTGAGAAGGAAAAAAGGGGTTTAAGTTAAGAAAATCACATGTTGATTGTCAACGTAAAACAGTCACGTGCACCTCCTAATCTACTGATTGAGTCCACACCGAGTCAGTCAAGCACCCAAAACGAGTCCAACTCGCGCATAACACAGAGAAATAAACCAGCAACAAAACAAGAAGATGAAATGTATTGTAGGTTAAGCTTACCGTGAATGAGCGAGAAGAGACTGCCATTGGGCTGGTAATCATAAATCAGAAGCCTCTCTTCATTGGCCTGAAAATAAGCTCTGAGCGGCACCAAATTGGGATGCCTCAACCCACCCACCGACTCCATATGCGTCTCAAACACCTCCCTACTCGTCCTTGCAAGCTTACCGGCGTCAAGCCTCTTCACGCTGACAATGAGTCGGTTGTCGAGCACTGCCTTGTAAGTCGTTCCGATGGTGCCCCTCCCCAGCAGCTCCGCCGACGCCCTCATTAGCTGCTCCAGCGAGTAGAGCTGCGCCTCCCCCGCGCAGAACGCAAGGCTCCCGCTCTTCGTCACCTGCATCCCTTGCTGCGCCCTCCTCACCTTCTCCTCCAGCTCCTTTTCCTGCTCCATCCCCACCGCCGCCGCCTCAGCATCGTCTGAAAGCATCATTGCCATTCCTTTCTCCTTGCTGGTAGTACTGTTGTTGTTCCTCTGCTTCTTCACGGCCATGGCGAAGCAGAGCAGAGAGCATATCAACACCAGCACTCCGCACGAGAACCCCACGATTTCCACCGTCTTCCGGCGCTTCTTCTCTCCCAGCTTCGCCAACTCGACGGCGTTCGACCCTAGAACTACAACTGGCGGCGGAGCAGAGACGGACGACGTTGGGCCGAAGAACGGTGAGCTTGGGCTGCACTCCTCGCGGATAATCTCACCGCAGAGGCCCGGGTTCCAGGAAAACGACGACGGATCAAATCGGAGTAATGTCGGAGTCACCGGTACGGCGCCGGTGAAGTTATTGCCGGAGACGTTGAAGAATTTGAGAGAAGACTGGTTCATTGGCGGGACCGATCCGTTAAAGTGGTTCCACTCGAGACGGAGGTAGCTAAGCCGGTCGAGGTTGGCTATCGAGGCGGGTAATGATCCGGTGAGGTTGTTGTAGGATAAGTCCACCGTGCGGAGCCTGTGGAGGAAGAGAATCGACGGAGGGAAAGATCCGGAGAAGTAGTTGCGGTCAAGGAAGAGGCTTTTGAGGTTTCTGAGTCCGGAGAGGTCGGGAATGGGTCCGGTGAGCGAGTTGTTCTGGAGACTCAGGACTCGGAGCTGGTCGAGACGAGTCAAGGTGTTGTTCGCAAAAGTGCCGCCGAGATGTAGCCCTTGGATGACGAGGCGGACCACCCTGGACTGCACGCACTGGATTCCGGCCCATTTGCAGAAGTGAAAAGTGTCGTTTGGAACGGAGAAGAAAGGGAGTTCGTTTCTCAAATCCGCTTTGGATTTGAAGGCGAGAAGTGCGGCGGCGTCGGAGGGTACTTTAAACGTTGAGTTGTCGGCGACTGATGAAAAGAAAAAGAAGGCATTGAGAAGACTGAGACAGAGCAACAGATGCCATTTATTCTTCCGCATTGTTGGAGAAACGGCGGCAAAGGGAAAAACTGTGATTTAATCTAATTTCTCTGTACTAAGGTTGTATATTTTAGTTATGGTTGTATTGACTAAAAGCTGAGACTTTACAAAGAGAGTAGTGAGTGAGGAAGAAGAGTGGGAGAGAGGGGGAAGGGGTAGATGACAAAAGCAAGTGAGTGAGCAGAAGTAAATATATCAGTTGTCGGACTGCAAGATCAGAATCACGTGGAGGTGGGGATGCAAGAGAAGGGTAAAACATAATTTAGCACTGTGGAATAATAAAAATAAAATTAAAAATACTGAGACTTTTCTGATTTTGTAAATGTCGAATACTTCGACTTCGAGGGGTTGAAGTCGGTAAAGTGTGAGTGATGAACATTAACAGCTGCGAATACCAGTAAAAAATAAAAAATAAAAAATAAAAAATGATGTAAGTCTAAGGCCTCGTTAATTTCGTCGATTCGAGTTTAGAATTCGAGCTTTGTTATAGTAAAAAGCTCTCAGAAACAGTTACATCTAATTTTTTTACTACAGTAAAAAGCTCTCATATAAAATTACATTTCAATTCGAATTACAAACTCGAATCAACAAAGTGAACGGCCAGCCTACGACTATGTGTTGGGAATTCCGTGACGCTTTTGATCGAGGACACTCCTATTTGTAATAATGGAGATTTTTATTATTCTTATTAAACACTTTTGAGCCTCATTTCTAGAGTCCACGTAAATCTTACTGCGTGGAGCCTGTCTCTTTGTGTCTGGGAGATTTTTTTTTTTTTTTTTTTTTTCCGCTGCAATTGTGTCTAAGAGATTAATCCGGGACAAGAATGTAACGTTTGTTTTGAAAATTTTATCTCATTTGAGATTATAATTTTTGATTTTGTTATAATATTTTTTTATAAAAAATTTAAATTTTAAAAATTAAAATTATTAATTATAATTTTAAACTCATAAACTAAACATCTCATTAAAGAGTTTTCCTTTCATCAGTCTTGCTGTCTGCTGCTTTTGATAGTGTACAAGATATGGGCCTGCGGGTTGTGAAAATAGGGATGAATCGGTAATCTTTCCCTTTGTTCATTGAAATTGAAAGATTAGTGAAAATTTTTTTTATTAATGATAAATGAATCATTTACGCATTAAATTATTATTTATTTTAAATAGTACTTATATGCTATATACTACGTTCTCTAAAACAAAGTGGTGATTAAAAAGAGAATTATTCACTTTTATTTTTACTAATTTTATTAATTTTTGTTGAGTATGTTAATAATATATCTAAACGTATTGTTATGGATATACTACATATATTTTGTTATTTTATTTGTATAGTTAATATTTTTTCTAAATAGCGATATTACATAATTACACATAAAAGAGTTAAAAAATCATTTTAACCTAATAAAAATAAATTTTCATTTTTAAAATCAAATGAGAAAGGGGTAACTAAAAAAATTAAAAAGAAAAAAATTTAAATTATTCATATTCTACATGTTAATATGCTTCCCTTTCTCTATGTGGGATCAAAATTTGGTACTGTCCAGTAGGGGTGTCAATTCGTGTTGGCGGGTCGTGTTCGTATCGTGTTGACTCCCTCAGTTGACACAAACATAATTCGTTTATTAATCGTGTCGAAATACAAAACTCAAACACGACCTGTATATTAGCGGGTTGACACGACACGACACGAATAACCCGTTTATTAAATAAGTCATAAACGTGTCGTGTCAACTCCTTTATAAAATGAGTGATAAATGGGTCGTGTTAACCTATTTCTGAACTTATTTTTGAACATGTTTATAAAATATGTGATAAATGGGTCGTATTAACCTATTTCTGAACCTATTTTTAAATCTGTTTATAGAATGAGTAATAAACGGGTTGTGTATTCGTGTTACCCAAATATGACACGTTTAATAAACAGGTTATGGCGAGTCAATTGCGGGTTGGCGGGTCAACCTAAAAATGACACATTATTTAATCGTGTTTCACGAGTTCGATCTGATTTTAATCCGGACCTATTTATAATAAACTCAAATCCGTTAATTTCGTATGAATTTTGAGTCGTGTTGTCGTGTCTCTATCCGAATTACCAACCCTAAAGTCTAGGGATTGCAAACCTCTAACCCATTTTCTTCTGTAGCGCAATCGTCTTTATTAAATAAAGAATTAATCTTGTCACGTTTAATCACCGAAAAAAAAAAAAAAGATTCTTTGCCTTCTTTCAATTTTTTTTTCTTCTCTTTTCTTTCTTCCTCAATTCTTCCAACCAAACACACTGCTGAAGGAGGGCGTATTGTCGTCCACGTGAATTCACAATCCCTATGTGTAAACCAAAGCAATTTAACGTCATAAAATGGAAGGAAAAAAAAAAGTAAACAAGAGATGTTCCCTTTTTCTGACAAATGCTGTATTATACAGAGGTTAAACAATGTCTAAACGTACGTGCTTTTATCCTTTTGTCCTTTTGTTTTTCCATACATGAATCATGATAAGACATTAATAATTTCACAAAGGAGAAAAACAAAGTTAAGTATTAATATCAAGCTATTTGCGGTTGTAGTTACTCATCCTACAACTGTAGGAGAAACTCCCAACGAGTACACCAACCTGAATCCTTTCAAAAAAAAAAAAAAATCCTTGTAAGCTTTTTTGATTTTCATTGTTCCAGTTGACCTTATATTCAGCTACGTACATTATGTAAGGCAATCATATCACGTAAGATTTTTTTTTTCCCTTATATCTTCACTAATTTCATCATAGAGAAAAATAAAAGGACATCATAGGAATATACTAAAAGCTGAAATAATTGCGTTTTTTTCAGTTATGCCTTTGTTCTTTCTAGAAGTTTTGAAAATAATCTAGGGAAAATGCACTCCATAACATTTTTGAAACATACTTTTGAAGAAAAAAGCATATATTTTAAAACATTGTAAATTATAACATTTTTTCAATCTTCATTTTAAAATAAATTGTTCTTTTCCAAAATTACCCTTTTCTTTAGGTTTTTTTTTTTTCTTTTCTTCATCACACACATTTACAACCGTTACCTCCACACCGGAGACTTGTCTCTCTCTTTCTCTCTCTTTCCACCGCCGATCTCTTTTTCTCTCTATCACCCGCCAATCTGACTCTCGCTCTGTTCATGGACGCTTTCCCCTCTCTCTCTCACACCCCCCCTCATCGTCGGCATTACGGTGCGTCGCCGATATCTCTCTCTTAGATCGCCATGACGAAGGTTGAGAAGTGTCGCAAACTAGAGATCTTAGTCGAACCGAAGAAGAAGTCACGTTCGCCGCCGAGCGTAGTTGTCCTCGGAGATCGTCGTCGTCGTTCACCAATCTTCTCTCTTCGATCGCCGCCGCACCGTCGCGACAGAGCAACTCTGCGACGGTGACAATCCTTGAAGAAGTCACCGGCACCTCGAGTGTCAAGTAGACAAAACGAATAAGAATCTTGGAATCGGTAGCATGAACAGGTGATTAGGATTCTAGTCCTCATTAAAGTCCATGTGAGCTTGCATTTTTCATTTGGGAGATAGCAATGGTTCTGCTATTAAGGAATTTGTATGATTTGTGTTTGTAGCTGTCTGCAATAATAGTTTAGGGGACGTTTGGTTGGAGGATTCAAATTATGATTTGAATCATGGTTCATGATTCGCTACAGTGTTTTTTCTCGTAAAAAATACACATAAATTAAAAATAGTTTTAATCACATGATTATAATCTATGAACCAAATGTCTTCTTAGACTCATGTATAAAAGAGCATGATTTTCCCTGTGATTATGTTTTTCTCTCAACCTGGATGTATAAAAATTAGTCTTGAGTTTGTGAGTTTGTGATTTATTGTAATTTTTGGTAGTTTTTTTATTTTGAATTTTGAATACAGTAAATATTGTATTTATCAGTAAATACTTTACTGAATTCAAGTTTAAAGCTAGTAAATATTGTATTCACCAGTAAATATTTAACTGAATTCAATTCTCAATCTGATAAATATTGTATTTACTAGTAAATATTTAACTGAATATAATTCTCGATCTGATAAATATTGTATTTACCAATCAATACTTCATTAAATAAGTTTAAATCCGATAAATACGGTATTTATCAATCGCCAAAGTGGGTCCCAATTTTTGAATAAATTTAAATATGGTATTTAAAGGTAGATACAGTATTTATTAGTCACTAGAAGCAGTTGCCGGATTTTCGAATCAATATGGTAAATATTGTATTTATCGAAAAATACGGTATTTACTAGTCGTCAGAATCGGTTGCCGAATTTTTAAATTAATATGGTATTTACTAAAAAAATATAATATTTATTGATAAATATGATATTTATCCATTGTCAAAAATAATTTTCCTTATAATTTTAACCTCATATTTCACCATTAGATCTCTAATTTTTACTTGTACTAGACATTTTCTCGAAGAACTTCAATATTGGGTTGTGTCTAATTTTAGAACACCGGTTTTATTGGAACAAGTTATTGCAACGCCTTCTGAAGTTATAGCATTGGCCGAGTAACACGAATGGGTGAATTATGACCCCACTAGTACACACATTATAAAGGTGTTTTGGGTACTGGAGGCCAACCAGAAAATGCTTGTAACTTCGTATGATGGTATTTAATATAAAATAGAAAAATGAAGAATTTACTTTTAAGAATGTATGAGTCTGAATATTTACTCCTTATTTTTAATAAATATCTTTTTGTTAGTGTAATTTTGACTAAAAAAGTTATGAAATAAGAGTAAAGCGTAAAAATCATAACTCATACATTTTCAAAAGATATTTGTTAAAATTACTCTTAATAAAACATTGTCGGTCCATTAAAAAGCAAAATACCTATTATTGAAGTCTTAATTTTAAAAATATCGACTATTACATAATATTATAAAAATGTCGATTAAGACATATATATGTTATCGGATATGTCTTTATATACTATTTTAGGGTATGATCTATTTATGGTTAATATTTTTTTTATGTTATCTGTTTGTTTTTTTATCATTATATTCGACCTATTTACTTTCCTTTTTAGCTATAATTAATTGTGTGTAATCAATTTATTTTTTAGTTTACAGAATCACTCCGTTTTAATTTCCCTCTTATTTTGTTTTAGAATATAGTCGAGTTT